TCCTCCTCTTCCTCCTCCTCTTCCTCCTCTTTGTCTTCCTCTTCGTCCTCCTCTTCGTCCTCCTCTTCCCCCTCTTCTTCCTCCTCCTCTTCTTCCTCTTCTTCTTCCTCCTCCTCTTCCTCCTCCCTTCCTCCTCCTCTTCCTCCTCCTCTTCCTCCTCCTCTTCCTCCTCCTCTTCCTCCTCCTCTTCTGCCTCCTCCTCTTCAGCCTCCTGATCGCCCACCTCTTGTCCGTGAGCTCCCCGACGACGGCGTCCTGGTCCTCGTTGGTTGCCCTGGACGGCCCGGCCCATGCGCATGCACTCTGCTCCACATACACGTGGTGCGCGCGAGTGCGTTTGTGTTTTTATTATCTCCGCTGTCCGATCGTGTCGGGGGCGTTGCGGCCCGCGGCGGGGGCGGGGGCGGGCATGATGCTCGCGCTAGTACGTCTGCAACAAAAGAAAGGCATCATATTAACAATCCGGACAATAGGCCGACAAATAATGGGCCAAATCACAAATCTCAATCACACTAAAGCGCGCCTTTCAGCGAGGGCCGCAGAAAAGGAAACTATAAAATACGCGGACCGTGGTGTCAGCCTCACCCCGTCCAAGTCGCTCCCTGGACACTTGGTATGAGTCTGAACACACTCACTCCGACGGCAACGCCCACTCCACTCCACGCTAGGCCGCGGCGGCCCGGTGCGTGGCGTCATCGCAGGCGCGACACAGCGGCGAGCACAGCGGCAGTGACGTCATTGGGACACGCGGAACGCGTCATCAACACCCAAAAAGCGCCGCGGCCGGCGGGCAGAGTGAGGCTATGGGACGCAATCAGAGTTTGGAGCACGTGATGGAGAGCGCGGAAAAACGGTGCCCCCCCCAGGGACTGGCCCACATAGGTAGCTGAACTCGCCCAGACATTTTACCCATCACTCGCACTCGACCTTCGCTTAGCACTCCGCCCAGCCCCGCAGCCCCACCCAGCCCCGCTAAGGCAGCCTTGGCCGCCAGCCCGGCCTCATGAAAAGGGTAAGGCTAGTGTTGAGACCCGGGACGAGGGGGGGGGGGGGGGGGGGCTATGATGACCATACGTGTCGTCAGAGGGGGGACCCGAGGTGTTGAAACATTTCATCCTACGAGTCCGACATTCTCCAAAAATCCGTTTCCCAGTACAGTACACACTAGTTTACTGTATGCCGCTGCTGCTTTTTGAAACCCACAGACTCGACATAAAGGAACGGGAGATACAATCAAAGGAGTGGGGAAGGGCAGCGAAGAGGTGGGGTGGGGTTAGATGGGCTGAGGTGGTGGGGTAGGGTTGGGTGGGGTGGGGCGCAGAGAAAAGGGGGGGGGGAGACGAAGTTAGGGTCGCACGGGAGACTGGGGGAGGGGGTGGGGGGGGGGGAGCTCGATCAATACTCCCCGCCACAACTTCCACTCCTACCGCAGCTGCCCCCGCTCCGCGCCGCTCCGGCCCCGGGCCTCACCCAGGAGATTCCTTTGCAGTCGCTTCCTCTAGCTCCGCGGTTGTGTGGTCGGCAGAGGGGGACAAGAAGGCGTGTATGGTGCGGGGTGTCGGCCGGTGTCGTCAAAGTGCCCACACCCAGAAAGAAGGGAAAGCTATACAGCAACCATCGCATGGCAGTCAGAGCAACCATAAAGAGTATTGGTCTGCCAACACTCACATCTATACCAAAAATAGGAAAAAAAAGGAGTATTTTCGACGGAAGGCTCATCTCCCTCCAAGTCGACTCTTAAAATCGTGCTCTAGAAACTCGCGAAAAGCAACCCCAAGGTCACTCACTGCGACGGCCCTGCCGGAGGCCCAGCTGCGCTGCGCCTCACCCAGTCCTCACCCCCACCCCCCGGCCAAACCTGAATAACAGCGCACAGCGCACGCAACAAGCCAGTGGCGTCGAACTCGGAAAGTGCACCGAGGCAATATATTCGGATATACGCTGCCCCCGGGACTTTTGCCTCGGAGTAGACAGATCCGGCCCCCCTCCCCCCGGTGAGGCTTGCCCGGGGATTAAGGACTTCCGGCCCAAGCGCGGATCAAGTGTGTGTGTATTGGGGAGAGGGGGGGGGGGGCACTAGGCAATTACAGCTCCTGTAGCGAGTTTTCCGAACACTTTTACTCAAAAATCCTGAGATTTTCATGATCTTTAGGACAAATCGTTTTTGATCCAAGGTGTTTCCAGACGCAACACAATGTTTCCAGAATTATTATCTTTTTTAAAAGGGGGTTCTTAGAGGATTTGGATTTATAAAACGGGTCCGTTCGACTTGATAGGGTAGGGCACCTGACACCGCGGGTGACTTGCGGGCCCGGCTGCAATGTTGTGTTCTAAAGAAGGAGACTACACACAAAGCATTCCGCGTCCGCGTCTTGACTTCTTACAGAAATTCTCAATTTCGTAGTACGCTTTTTCGCTGTGAATAACTTGGATGAGTGGAGGCACGTGTAGGGAAGGGTAAGGAGAAGAGATGCTGGACACACCACCACCGGCTGGATGGACCACTCCCCTACCACCATGGTAGGCAAGCTGTAATAGGTACCTAACCACTGCAAACCTTTTGGGGGAGGTTTCGTGCTCGAAATGAGTGAGACAATTTTACCTCGCCCAATCCATCAAAGCTTGCCATATTTGTCTCATTCTCATACCTTATGCAGCGAATTCTCACTCTGAGCGAGTGAGATTTCCCTGACCTAGCCCAACTAGAGTGGAACCCTCGGAGGAACCGAGGAACCTCAGTCTCATTTGATGAGGTGAATTATGACCAATAGAGTAAGAAGAATAATCTTGTCACTATCTCGCCCTCCTGAGAGCAAGATATAAGATACCAGGAGGCTGATTCACGCCGCGCACTTTCGTAGTTATACTGTACCGCATGCACGCGTGCGGGCGGGTCGCCTACTAGGACGGGGCCATAGGGAGCCGTGGGCAGCGGTGATAGGCAAACCCGCTCGCACTCGTGCATGCGGTACAGTACAACTACGAAAGTGTGCGGCGTGAGTCAGCCACCTGGTAGATATACACTGTTAGAAAAAACCACGGAAAAAACACAAAAACTATGGTCAATTTTTTGCCCAGAACGTCCGTCAAAATCTGTGCTGAAACCACAGAGAGGGTACGGAATCAAAGGTACAGAAAACCACGGAGCTTCTGTTACAGAACGTCTGTGCTACTCCGTACACCTGCCACAGAATTATTACAGATATTTTCTGTGACTTAGCCATTCTTTTCTAGACACAGTTTTGTTGAAATAGAAGGATCGTCGTCTGCGTAGGATACTTTGGTACCGAAAGTGAGTCAAAAATTCAATTTCATTGGCGCATTGGCAGAGGACTGCAGCGCGCGGGAAACTGTTCCCTATTTGTAGCGTGTCAGGGTGGGACACTAGATGGTGACCAGGACGGAAGTGTTCAGCGAGAGCTAATGTAGAGTGCCATCTAGCGGCGTCTTCGGACGCCTTACCACTGAGACACAATATCTGTTATAGATGGGTCCGCACCCCTTGAATGACAGACTATTTATATGACGGAAACAATCTGTACGATTCTGTTCTGTTTTTTCTGTGATTTTGAAGCACAGACTTCTGTGTTCACAAAATAACTGAAAATTTCTGTAACAGAAGCAATCTGTACACCTCTGTTGGGAATTTTTCTGTGGTTGTCTGTGGTTTTTCCACAGATTTTTTAACAGTGTAGCTGACTTTTAGCATCCTCAGTGAAGCGATTGCTGCCAGCGTGGCAACTTGTCGCTGCTGCGGGCGACGTCCTAATCAACTGCATTGCAGGAACAACACACAAATCGATGGCATTCCGTTACTTCGGTAGTATAACACAGACCTCTTTCCAGTCCAGCCAAGCATCACAAAGTGCACAAAGCGTGCACAAAAAACTCCAGGAAAGTAACAGAGAATTGTGAGGGGTAGCCTAAGATAAGGTAAGCCATAGGGGTATTCTCCAATGGCGTAACAAAAAAAGATTCTGGGCATTTAAATTCGTTCCGCGAACTTGTAACGTAACGACAATACGTTAAGATATTATGGTCCCTCACCCGCGCCTTCTCCCTTTCAGTATTCATGCTAACCAGCAATATTTGCTCGTTCAGCAGTTGTTTACAGTCCAACATTTTGGAAGCCAATCATAAAATAAGTCCCAGCCTATCCAGTTGCGTAGTCGCTCAACTTAATGACAATTTCCGTTTGTTATATTTTATGTTTAATTGTTGTTGTCGTCGTCTTACAAAACAGCCAACAACAGCTTTGTTACAGGTCGGATGGCCAGTGTTTCCCACGTCTTGTTGCCACGCTGCGAAAAGCAGCATCACCTACCCAAACCATGACCACCACAACACGAAACGAAAATGTAGACTGTCACAAAAAAATAAAATAAAAAAATAACGTCGCCCGTTTATCACGTTTAGTGCGGCTGTTCATCGAATGGGGGGTTTGAAAAACAAACAAACAGCAAAGCGTGACCACATTTTGGTCGCGTCGCACTAAACAAAGCGGCGAGGCGGGTGCTGCAGGCAGGTGCTGCAGGCCGCGACCTCTGGCGGGCCGGTGCCGGACCACGTGGGGCAGGCACGGGACGGGGATCGCCGAGCACCCAGCGCCCCTTTGCCTTCATCGCCCGCGCGCACGCACGCTCGCACGCACGCACACACACACGCTCGCACGCTCGCACGTACACACGCACAATTAGAGAAACGCGCGTGAGCGCACGGCGGGGCCCCTACGGGGTCGGGCGGGGTGCGCCGGGGCGTGGTGCGCCGCCTCACCGCTCGCGCAGACCACGTCCGGACGATCGATGGACGGCAACCCTTACGCCTTAAGCGCGCCACTCACTCGGACACACACAGCCACGCACAAACACACACACACACTTGCACACGCACTGACAATCGGGCACTCAGCCTCGGCTATACGCACCGTCAGAGAGACACGCAGAGAAAGAGAGAAGGAGAAGAGGGTGGAGAGAGATAGAGAGAGAGAGAAAGGAGCGCAGCGGAGCACACCACCCTGGGCCAGCGGCTGGCGTCGACTGAGGCCCAGCGCGCACCGCCCCGCGCTTCTCCCCGCCGCCGAGCCACGGGGGTTGGGCGCGGTGGGGGTGGGGTGGGGCAGGCTATGCCCGGGCTGCACGAACAGCTTCAGGGAAAGGGGGGGATGGGGGCAAATCCTACCCCAACGAACGCCACTCTCTCCTCGCTCCGGCCACTTGTCTAATGTCTGTCCATCACCTGTCCCGCTCTCATCGCCGTCGTCAGCTGATCGACGTTTTGGCCCGTCACAGATTAGCTATAGCTCATGCACTAACCCCCCAACTCAACCCCAACCTCCCACAAGCTGGCCGTCCGAGCACCAGGAGGGACTCCAGAACAGCCTCTAGGATGGCCTCCAGATAGCTTGGTGCCGCCCTCAGACCGAGCCCGACC